AATTGAACACTTTTTATATTTGTATCACCGAAGTCTTTTTAGACGAGCGCATTTAATATCAGACCATGTAACGGGGTTTCTGCAAGCTTTTTTATTTTTTTAATGACTTTTTACGAGGTGTGCTACTGTGAATTGCTTCAGAGATTAACTCTATAAATTTAGTATATTTATTGCTTGCGCTTAGTTGTTCGTATTCATGTGGAAGAAAAGCGGAAAAGTTATTTTTTATGTGCTTTTTAAACTCTAACCAATTTGTTTGAGCGCTACTTAATTTAAAGGATTTTTTGTCATGGAATTGTTTTTCAGAGCTAATGTATATAGAGATAGGGTAATGGTCTGATCCTCTGATGGGGTAAGTCTCATCTTTCGCTCGGCAATTTATTTTGTCAGCGATATGTGCAGAGGAAAGATTGGATAGGTCGAGATTGGAAGAAAAATTGCTATGAATGTCGATGTAAGTTATCGAATCAGTGTTGTAAAGAAACAAATTATGTGAATCAATTTCGTTATGCAGTCTTTCGCCAATCGTATTGCTTGAGACACAGTTCCAAGTGATATTATGTGCGTTGAAATCGCCAAGAAATAAGCAGTCTTCGCGATTGTTTAAGTTATCGATTATGTGTAGCCATTGCTGTTGAGTGAGAGTGAGACCAGGAGGTCTGTAACATGCGCGATAATATCAAAAGGAAGGAGGAGGGCTTACATTGTTTATGTGAATCCCGCATATTTTAACGTGTTTTGTATTTACGACAATACCTGAGATTTCGGTGTACGCAAGATTGTTACGAATCATAAATAGAATACCTTCTCCTCTTAATCTGATCCTGTTTTTCCTAAATTTCAAAAAGCCAGGAAAGTAGATCTCAAGCCGTCTCTTCATGAAGCTTCTTAGGTTCCAGTGCAGAATTTTCAAATTAACTGCAGAAATAGAAGTAGTGACTGTTTGTATATTATCCATTTTGCTTATAGTTTCTCCTACGTCATCAAGTCTTCGTCCGAAGTAGTGGTTTTCGTAGGTTTATTGAGGCGTTTGATCAATCTGTTGAATCTCGATCTTATATTTTTGTGTGTCAAAAGATCATGCACGTCTTTCAAATTTGAGATTTATTTAGATTAATTTTAGAGCTTCCATACGTCACTAGTAGAAAATTCTTCAGCGCGTTTAGATTCAATGGATAAATATCATTATTTACATCGAATAGTTTCTTGAATAATTGTAGTTTGCGAGAGATATCTTTTATACTAGTGGTGCGGGAGGGCTTAATTTTTTTGTTGGGGAGACCTTTTTTCTATTACTAATATTTGGTTTTTTTTTTGTTTTTTGTCTACAGAGTCTGCGGCAGACAATTGGGTGCTTGAGGCAGGGCGTTTAGTTTTGGCTGCAGGTGTTGTAGATAAGACAAATTCATTATTCAGGGCAGATTTATTTGGCAAAAGTAGCTCTACAGGCGAGTCGACTCGCTTATAGAGCCTCTATCGGTCTGGAAGTTTGTTGATGTCGTTGGAGTCGATGTATGTTAGCCTTCTAGAGCTTAAAACACGATTCTAGCCGTTTTTAGATGTCTTTAGAGTTGTGATTAGAAAAAGTCTTTTCATATTCAGTTGTTCCAGATGTATTCGTACTCCAAGAGTTTCTCGTCTCGTGTACCTTTCCACCCTCGCTTCGCTTGGGCGTAAACGCCATACGAGACAACAATCTACTTTTCCGCACTTGTATCGTAATGTACAATTTTATTCAATTTTATTCGATTTACGTTATATCTCTTCGAACCACATTTTAAGGCAAATTTTGGTATCACTGAGAGTTATAAAATTATTAATTTGTACAATAATTTCAAAATATAACTCATATTCTTAAAGCAATGTATTAATAACATATTTCCAGTCTTGCAAATTATTATCCATATGAATAATTTTTAATAAAATTCCATATCATAACTCGTATGAACCGCAATCTTTTTAAAATATTCGAAAGAATTATTTTTTATTACTTTTAATTTTGCTACTGATATTTTTAGGCATTATTTTCAATAAATTTATTGAAAACTAAAATAATAATAATCTATTCGAAATTCTAAAATGATTTCCCGTCATAATAAAAATGAATAACTTTTAATCATATTTAATATTACAAGTTCGATGCAATTTTTTTACGCATTTAATATAGTAAATAGTGCGTAGATTTTTACATATCATTAATTAATATTCAATTTTTTAAGTTTTACTAATATAATCTTTTTAACATGTTTGAGTGAATTTTTCGTAATTTTGTCTGATATTGCATGTGATAACATGCGATCATGCGCTCAATCGTTGTGTAAAGAAATAAAAACGTGTTATGATTTATTGATTACAATTGATACTTAAAGATATGCATATATATGTCGGATGTAAAAAAAATTGAAATTGGTTAATTTGTGGCTAACCGATCAAATGACATGTGAAATGAAACACGTGGCGTTGTGATGTCGATTGACTACTTTGTGGCTAGTTGACCAATGTAATGTACGTAATGAATTTATAGTTTTTTAGTCACTGTGGACTTGATTAACTATTTTGTGGCTAGTCAACCAATGATACGTATGAGTGTTTGTGTTACCTGAGTAACAGGAGGGTTTTTCTCGCGGCGATTGTTAAAATATCACGACTCAAACAAAGAGAAATGATTGGAAGAGTATTTTAGAAACTAGAATAGATACGCGTCTATTAAATACTATTTTAATTGAAACTAATTAAGCTTAACTATACTACATTGACAAATTAAATAAGTTAATGAAATTTTGTTTAACGAATGTAAAATTCAAAACGTGCGATTAGTTCGGACGAATGATTTATACTGCTTGACCTCCACAACTAACCGATAACGCACTGTCACCCGAAACGTATACTCTCCTCTACTCTCCTTAAGTAAGAATGAAAGAAAGAAAGTCATATAGTTAGATCGTAGTTAGGCATGCTGAGTAATTATATCGATAAAGGAGAAGAGAAAAGAGAGAGAAAGAAATAGTACGTGGCCATACTAGAAGAGAGGAGAAAGCGCGACTACGTTGCAACCTTATATATATATAGGACCCTTTACTATATATAGGAAATACTTTCGTCTTTCGACGAAACAATTCCAATATATTTTTTCTTTTTTTATTGAAAAGAATGTTGGTAAACATGAATAACAATATTTAAAAGAATTAAATAAGATGCACTCAACGTGTTAAAAAGACTGTATGATAATAAAACTTATAAAATTAAATGTGAATTAATTATACTAAAAATTAGTCTAAAAACGTACATACTATTTGCAGTATTAAATATGATTAAAATTAATTCATTTTTATTATTGCAGGAAATCATTTAAATTGAAGTTTGCTGTCTAAATAGATGGATCATATTCATATTTCTTTAATTAGGATTTTTTGAGTTTTGGCTCATAAGCAAACTCTAACCAATGTCTATAGTAATGAGAAAAAATACATGAAAATCTTTTTAGTTTTTATTATTTGTCATGTCTCTTAATAAATTTATACACTTTTTGGCAATGTATTATATTATTAAAAAACAAAATCATTCGTTTATTACTTACCTCTGCAAACATTAACCTTCTTAGCATCTAATTAGGTTTTTTCATCATCTAACTTAAAGCCAGTCTGGTTATATGTACGTTTATTTTTTAAAGGATAGCTTGATTAACGGTTTCACATCCATAGTGCTAACGCATTGCAAGGGTGTAGTAATTTTATTTGCAATTGTTAGATTAGATAATATATCCTAGAAAACTATATTTTATTGATAAAATTATTTTGTATATTTTTATTTAAGCAAAAATAGAAATTAGCATAACTTAAATGAAAATTTTTCAAATTAGATAAGCTTAGATTCAAATAGAAACATGTACACTACACAAGCTAATCATATAGCATTTATTTCGGTTTCGCAACATCGGCCATGAATTCTGTTGTATATAAACCGTGGAATCACATGAAAACTGATCAGATGACTATCTTTCAGCCTACTATCAGATCACGAATAAACAAGCTTCTCTTTGCCACTTTGTCAGAGGTGTTAATTATGCGCACTTGTACGCTGCACAATATATTGTGCACAGATCTGTCCGTTACAATGATAATGTCAACATTGTCAGTGGAGTAACTAATCAATGTTAATTAGTTTTATATCCGAATTACGTTCCAATACTCGACAATGTTTTATTCAAACATTGTTATTTGAATGAAAATATGTAATAAAATTAATAAAACAATATCAAATATTTAGTTAAGAAACAAATTATTCTATTACCGCAATTGATATTACTATTTTAAGATTGTAATATTCTGTGAAGTTATGACATATAATTCATTAAAACAACTTATTTATTGCATTGCATAACCATATTTATATAAATACTTTTACGTGCACAGTAAAGTGCTGATTTATTTGTTTATATAAATTTATATTTTTTTATTTTTGCGCATTGAAGATTCCTATAACTATGTAGCCTTTCCGTAGATTAAGTTGTTATATGAAAATAATGAATAAAATCTATTTTTCAATTTAATCATCATATTTAACTCTCGCAAAATGTAATCGTGTGAAGTTAGCCAAGGCATTGATAAAGCATTGACTAAGATATCAATGTGCCCGGCAGTGATGAGAATCTGATGACGCTACAAAAAATGTAATTGTCACGAAGTCGTATCACATCTATATCGTTTATACAGCTATGACCAAGATGCTATGGGAATGCCGGCTGTGAATCTTAATCACAGTTATATAAACAATATAGATACAGTACAACTTGATGAAAATAAAATTTTATGAATGTGGCGATCAAACTAAGCTAAACCAATAAAAGATAATGAATCTTAGTTCTAGCCGTTGTCCACACAAGTGTTTGACGCCACTGTTACGGTCATTAACAAATTCACATTACAGCTGGCTATAAATCAGCTGATTCGTAATCTAAAATGTGCATTAAGTATATGGTTTAAAATACACCACACCCAGAACAAGCCACCATTTCAATACTTGACGTTACTTTGTTTACTGGCTTTCTAAATTGTAAATTCAATATATTTTCTTTGTAAGTAGCTCAAGATCATGCCATCGATCACTAAGAGCGATATACAAACAATTATTGGTCGTTGTGTTAAAAGTGATAATACAAAAATCCTTCGATATCATTTTGAATCTTTTAGTGCAAACAGATGTGGAATATTGGGAGATTATTCTTTACTCAGTATCGAAATTGAAGATCAACAAATTAAAAACGTAAATGGTGTGAGAATATACAAATTCTTTGTGAAATCACTTGCAGATATAGACAAATTGCCGAGATATTTAGATATCGATATATTTCAAGAAGAAATTAATTTTTTCAATCAAATTCAACCATTAATGATCCAAGATTATGATGGCGAAAAATGGTCTCCTACTTGCTATTTAGCAAAAAATGACATCCTTGTTTTGGAAGATTTACGCGAACAAGGTTTTACATTGCGATCCCAAGAAACGATGGATATAAATAGCTTGAAATCAGCAGCAGCAACGTTGGCGCGTTTTCATGCGTGTTCCGTCCTGGCGGAAAGAAGATTAGGAAAACCTTTAAATGAAGCATTTCCAACATTCTTTTCAGAAAAAATATGCAATAATACCAATAAATTTGGACAAGTCGCGAAAGTTGGCTATGAAACCCAAATTTTAATGGCGAAAAAGTTCAATCTTGATACAACTTTTATAGTTCCTAATATTTATGATTATGTGTCCGAAATGGTAAGGCCACAAAAAGGAGAATTAAACGTCGTTTGTCATAGTGATCTTTATAAATATAATATAATGTTTAATGGTAATAATGCTGCTCTGATATTAGATTATCAGCTTTTGCGTTATGCCAGTCCAGTTATCGATTTAAGTTTACTTTTACATTTAAATACGACACCCGAGTTTCGAAAAACATCAAGCATCAATATAATGAAACATTATTACTCGGTTTTTAACGATACGTTGCAACGAAGTAAACTACAAATTAACATTCCTCCTTACGAAAACATGATCCAAATGTACCATAAATGTAAAATAGTAGGAATGGCAACGTCCGTCGATTATTTAGCTTCTTTATACTTAAGTCCTAAACTTCGTTTCAAGATTTGGAATGAAGAAAAAGTTCTAGAACGTTTTCTGATTCATAGCAGAATTGATATTCTTGGTCCTGAACTTGAAACAAATATTGATTACGCGAGAAAAATGAAAAATATTCTGTGTGAATATTTGGATGAAGCCAAGCGAGTATTGAAATTATAACTCAAATTATAACCAATTATGATCAAATGTTTCTTTAAATATCTTAAAAATACGTATTATGTTTTTCGCTTAATTTTTTCATGAAGAAATCTTTTGTAGAAGAGATTAACTTTGACAAAGAAACTTTAAGTACTGATGCTGATAGATTATGCGGTATTACATGATCGTGGAATGTTATTGTTCAAGAAAAAATATTTTTATATTAGATTTGCGTACTGAAGGTTTTGCTATACACAACAAACAGACAATGAATGAGAGGTTATTAAAATGATTAAAATCTGCAATTTGTACAATCTATATGTCATCGTAATTTATGCATATTATGTAAAAGATGTAATAAAATATACGAACGAATTATTTCACAGCACTTTAATTGTCCAATTATTTTTAGCTTGGAAAACTTAAAAAAAAATTAAATAAATTTAATAATCTTAATTGTATACTTAGAGTAGTCAATTCTTTCGCATCTTATAGTACCATTTCTAAACTTGAGTATCTTGAAAATGTTCTTATAAGATGATAAATTATGCAAGAACTTATTTTTTGATGAACTCTGGAACAAAATTGTTATGTTAATAATTCTATTATTGTATATATTTACAATGTAGAAACTTGATTATTTGACTGTTGCAAGCATAAAATCCATTTTTGAACCCGAGATAAAAGTGAAATCCAATAAAAAAGAGAAGGAGAGAAGTAACACCCTTGCACATCATTAAAAGCGGAGTAACAGAAAACCATCGGTTACACCCTCGTCCCCCGACGTCCAGGAAAGAGAAGTCGCAACACCGAACGCCATCAACGGACGCATAATAGGTAATGGCTCTGCTAAGCAGGAACTAATGCGGGAGATTAAGATCAGCACCAATACATTGTCGGGCGCGTCAATGTCGCACGGCGTTAGCTAAGCTTCAATGACCTCACCTGCAGGACGATAATCTAATCGTAGTCTCGCAGGACCCAGCCTTTTTTTTTCAGTGAATAGCTCCCGTTAACTCTTTCTTTTTGTATAGGTCACGTTTACTATCACGTTCGATATCTTTCATTGTCCATCCCGTGGTGATGAGTTCTGATACGGACGCTATGAGCGATTGATTGCTTTTATCTAGTTTTTATCTAGTGCGAATAATGTTTTTATTTAATTTTTCATTTTTGCTGATGTCCAAAGGCGACATTTATCATTACAATTAATGGACGCTACAAAAAATACGACGCTTCAACAATTTTTTAAAAAGATTCTTTATATTTTTACAGGTAGAAATGTATAGTTGGTTATAATATCGAAACTCATCACAGTAGTTTAGAATAATGTGAACTTACTAAGTGATTTTTACACGAGCACTGAACAATCATTTGTCTTTATATAAAAAATGTACATGGATTTAATAGATTTTCTACGTATAAGACGTCAGCTCAAAAGAGCTTATCAATGAAATGTTAATAAAATGTTGTCGAAGATGTTTTTAATATTTACGCCTGAAAAGATGAAGCTTTAAGATGAAACCGCTTGGCCAAAACTACATCAATCGGATCAATGCACGGAACACTGCGTTTGTCGGCATAAATAATTCAATGGCCGTAGGTTCTTATCTGCATGAAAAGCGGCCACTTTACAGCAAAGTAAAGATGCACTCGAGAGAATACATTAATGCCTTATGAAAGTGGCTGACGAGTCCCTCATTCGGCGCAAAGAACTTGGGGACTCCGCAGGCGAAATGCGCGAGGGGTGCCGATACGAATTTGTGATTTCGATTTCTCTGTGTTCGTTATCTGGATCGGGCTTAAGAGCAGATGAGAATGATCGAGTGGGCTCCCTAGTCCACCATAGCGTTCTGTACTTACTCGTCTCTCATTCTCTCTTTCTCTTTGTTGTACGGGCATATTTTTGCCGAGGGTGCTTTGTATTAAGCGTGCAAGTATTCAATGCTACTGTAAATATCAAACGAGACATGGTTTGCGCTGCTCGTACAGCATTCACTGTTTCTTGGCTTTCACGAAGACCGTAAGCGATAGAAGCTCACCGTAATGAAGTAAGAGATAGAACGTGAAAAAATCAGACTACAGAGTAAATGATTAATAGCGGCTTTCTGCAACTCGACAAGCATCTTGAACAGTGGAAGCCTCGACGGGATGACGAGATGACGAGACGACGAGACGACGAGATGACGAGACGACGAGATGACGAGACGACGAGATGGCGAGATGACGAGGGGTTGATTGCAAAGCCGGCCGAGCAATTTGCACTAGGACCGATCGGCTAGACTGCCCACTGCGACTTCAATTGCGATCTTTTCATCGGCGCGTGTTTTTCACTGCAACGCTACTCGCCTGCACTGCAGATCCACATATAGAGGCCATTGTTCCGCGCTTTGCTCTGGTCGCTTTCTCGGGATTTAGGGTTGGAACGTATTGATAATTGGCTGCGGTGACTTCTTTTTGTAAAATTCGAATTGGACGTATATGTCGATGGAAGCAGCGAAGAAATCAGATTGAATCTCATTTGAAGCAATCCAATTTGCACTTGCACATCAGAGCGTACGAGCTCGAATTAGCAGCCTGCAAATTGAATCTGAGGGAAGGTGAATGCGCGTCTCATTCGGTGGGTCTAATCAAATTTCGGGCCATAGAGTTGTAGCATCGCCTTGGGCAAATCACGTGGTGCAAACATTTATCGAAGAGCTGATCGTCGTCCCCAATAACCCGCGGCCATTTTCGACGAGCGATCCGTGCACGCGTACGCGTATTCATGACTCGTTTCGCACCTACGAGCTCAATGTAAATACAGCGGCTACTAGCACACTCTGTTGCTCGAGCAAACTGCTTGCTGCAAGTACGTGCAGTAGCTGCCATAGTTGTATGCATAAACATGAGCTTTGTCAGAGCAGACAATCGAGTTATAAATGCCATGGATCGACGTATATTCAAATTACTACCCGATGACTGATTGTTCATTAGCGATTATCTAGATTCTCCAAATTTATCGATGGCCATTTAGTTTCTATACTGATTGCATTCCACGTTGCCGTATCAATCTCAACTGACCTGTCGTCCAACAATTGGCAAATTCCAATGTAAATCTTACATTGGAAAACGCAATTGAGCAAGCTAGAAGTTTGCTCATGTTGACGAGGAAGAGGCAAATTCGGGCGGGCATGGAAATTGCACGATTACAAATCCGCTTATCTCGGTGCGGGGATCGCACGGTAGGCCGATTGGCGTGAAAACGTCTCGCTTTCACGCTTTCACGCTTTCACGCTTTCACGGTGCCACGTGGTCGCGTGGTCGCGTGGTCGCGTGGTCGCGTGGTCGCGTGGCCGCGTGCGAGCGAATGCAAATGGTCGCTGCGGCCTGGCGTTAAACTGCACTCATCCGCCATCCGAAGCGCCACGTGGCGTGCTTTCGAGCGAATTAGCCGCGAGCACGATACAATGATATCTCAATTACACCGGCACAGGCGCGCGTACCACGGGGCCACGTGCCGCGGCGCGAAAAGGGCGCCCAACTGGCTGGCGAGTCGAGCCTGGCTCCCGCTGAAAGCTCAGAGCGCCGTTGCGCCACTCGGCTCCTCAGCTCGTACTTGGCCCGCGCTCGTCATATCGGCGATATCGCTTGGCATTTCTTGAACTTTGATCGATGCACACGAGCCAAACTGCGTCCAGGCAGCAGCCTCGCGATTCGCCAGATGGCATACGTATTTCAGCCAATGAAACGGCTCGGAACGGCCTGCCGCTGCTGATCTGGAGGCGAACAAAGAATGCCGATGAAGATGACACGCGAACGAGAAACGACGCACGGAAGTCGACGATCCAAGGGCCGAAGGAATGACACGTTGCAATTGTGCAGCGGTAACGCGAGCAAGGTAATTCGAGCCAACGCTCGAAAATCCGGCTGTGCAATAGCCCGCTAATAACAGCCGCTTGCGTAATCTCTAATGGCACGCAGGCTCGGGGCCGATGCTGGTGCGCGGCGTCGCATCCTGCACGCGACGCGGACCTCGCGGCCGCGTTCTCGCCTGCGGTCCTTTAATGATAGCCAGCGGCTCTTCGAAAACAGATCCACACGGGCGCGCACTCGACGCAGAATGCAGGCAGCTGCCGAAAATTAGCCGCGCTAATGTCATTGTTATTAGACGTATCGCGCAGAGACGGACAGTCGACCGGAGGCTCGTCGATCTCGCCCCGAGCTTCTGTCGGCCTATTGCCGCAGCCGGCGACACGTGCCCGACACGTGGCTCGGCTCGACCGAGGTGTCCGCTAAGAAAGCCACGCCGCAACAAGTACACTCGCCACGATCCCACCATCCCGATAATATTTGCGCTCCATTAGCTGCGAACGAGGAGGCGTACGGAGGCCGCCACGCGCCGCCAATTATGTCTCCGACGCTGCTCTGCTGTGAGAATATCTTTTCCGCTTTGCACCCAAGAGTCCCTTTCAACGGCCACATTATATAACCAGGCAGAGCGTGTGCGAGCAGCAACTTGCCCCGAAGCTCTTCCCAATTTCTTCAAAGTGGATTTCTGCTGAAAATTGAAATCGCTTAGTTGTTTTATAAGTTGTTCCGGCGAACAACGGTTTTCCCAGATTGCGCAGGCTGCGCCAAGCGACAAGCGACAATAGCCACATAGCCATTAGCTATGTAGGAAGCAGATGGAAGTAAGTCGTACAAGGGAAGGAACGATTTGCTGTGAAAGCACTCGAGATCGTTCTCACGCGGGGCTCGGTTTCCAATAATTCATCCCTCTCTCGGAAAGCTCCAAATCTCTCGTTAAACGCCCGAAGTAGCTTGAAATTACGCGACCGGTGGTCTTGCGTGCGACCCCGGCGTTCCAAATCTAATTCGCCACGCACTTGGACCAAGCTGCATCGCAGCCGCCTCTTTTTCTTGCTTCGGGCTCCTCGGGCCCGTTCAACCTAAAGTAGGGACATTCGGTTAACGAGTCAATGAAGACGCCCGACTGTTTGCCCCGACGTTGTCAGTCCGCGCGTATTAAATGCTCGAAAAAACAAACATCCTCTCGCCCGTTCGAGCATTCGAGCAGTCGATTGCATCTTTGCTGACACTATCTTCGCTCGCTCAACGACCTGCATTCCGCAGAACTAATAAATTGATGGCAGCCTCCGGCTGGTCCGCACCAATGGGCTCGAAGGCGCGAAAGTCCCGCGACGACGTCTTGCGGTTGCATTTCAAAAGGCACCGCTCCCGCGCGGGCGGCTCCTGTGTTTCAATGGGGCGTGGGCGACAACAGCGTGGGCTCTCGGGGTGGTCGCGTAGCCTTTTTCTCCTTTTTTCCCGAAATACCGGGGACTCGGTAACTGCTCGGGAGCTGCTTATCAGCCG